ACACATTGCAGAAGTTCATTGACTCCACCTCCCCGCTCAAGAGAGTCAAGACCGACGCGGCTACCAGCTGCGCCTGCGCGAAGGTCGATATCTTCGAAAAAGGTGACGTCGCGCAGGAGGACCACCGCACCTTCGATCACAGAAAGAGCGTGTTCTACCGCTACTGGCGGAAAACCGGGGGGGGGTCACCGGTTCGAACCCCTCCCCCCCCCCTTCCGGAAAACCGGGGGGGGGTCACTGCCGGTTCGAACCCCTCCCCCCCCCCAGCTCATCATGAAAGGGGGGGGGTGGTCACTGCCGGTTCGACCCCCCCCCCCCCTCGAAAGCCGGGGGGGGTCACTGCCGGTTCGAACCCCCCCACCCACCCCCCGTAAACCGAGTGGGGGCGCGGACAGTGGTGGAAACGTTGTTGGCGGGGACAGCGGCGAGGGGACAGCGGGACAGTGGTGGGGACAGTGGGACAGTGGGACAGTGGTGGGAGTGGTGGGGGCGGTAGTGGTGGGGACAGTGGTGGGGGCAATGGTGGGAACAGGGGGGGCCAGTGGACAGTGGTGGGGGCGGTGGTGGTGGGGGCAGTGGTGTGGGGACAGTGGGAATGAGGTGGAAACAGTGGGACAGTGGAGGGTACAATGGTGGTGGGGACAGTGGTGAAGGCGGTGGCGAGGACGGCGGTGGGACAATTGGACAGAGGCACAGTGGGGACAGTGGTGGGGGCAGTGGGGGCAGTGGGACAGCGGTGGGAACAGTGGGACAGCTCAGTGGGACAGCGGAGGGGTCAGTGGGACAGTGGGGGCAGTGGGGGTAGTCGGGCAGTGGTTGGGGCCGTGGAGACAGTGGGGAGAGTGGAACCGTGGTGGGAACAGTGGCGGGGACAGTGGGGACAGTGCGACAGTGGTGGGGGCACTGGTGGGGGCAGTAGGGGCGGTGGTGGAACCATTGGGGACAGTGGTGATGAGGACAGTGGTGCTGGGAACAACAGTGGGGGATGTGATGCGGACGGTGGTAGGGGCCGGGAGTCGTATGCTGGCGGCGCGTGGGGCGGGGGTGGGGTCGAACCGGTAGTGACCCCCCTCCGGTTTTCGAAGAGGGGGGTGGGGGTTCGAGCCGATAGTGGCCCCCCTCGGTTTTCCGGATCCGGAGGGGGGGGGGGGGGGGGAAAGGGGTTCGAACCGGTAGTGACCCCCCCCGGTTTTCGAGGGGTGGGGGGGAGGGGAGGGGGGGTTTGCCGGGGGAGGGGAGGGGGGGGGAGGGGTTAGGGGGGGGGGGGATTTTCGGAGGGGGGCCCCCCGGGCTCCGGAGGAACAGGTTGGCAATTTTCCACAGTCAAGCGGCGGTGGATCACGCTCTCTCCGATCACAGGATGGCGGCCCTGCACCGGCGCGCACAGGGGCGAGAGAGTCAACTGCGTGCTGCGCGAGAAGAAGGCACCGCCATGTTCGGACATGCGCTGCAATGAGGAGACCTACCTGAACTGCCAAGGGCACCTGCACCTACAGGCTCAGCACGGAGGCATGTCCGCGAAGGTGGCGATGCCCTCCAGGGAGTGGCGCTAGGGGAGAAGAGCACCCACCGCACCCTGCAGCACAGCGGTGAGCGCATGTCAGAGGTGTAGTCCATGGGCAGCCCGTGCGAACGCATCGGCGACAAGCGGTACCCCCTGGGCGAACGCTCCCTCGACGGGGCACCTCCCAGCCACGGGCGGGCGCCGACTGGCGAGGGTGGGCTGGCGGATGCCGCCCTTGCTGATGCTCCTTCCCCAAGGGGCGCGCCTCCTGATGCTGCGGATCCCGCCCCCGCTGGCGGGGGGTGTCAGAGCGACCGCCTACCTGGGCGAGGCGCGCCTCTGGCCGCGGGGGCTGGAGGGCGCGGGGGGGCGCAGGAGATTCAGCCTCCGCTCCCCGCGCATCAGGCGCAAGAGGCAATGCCGCTGCCTCGGCGCGAGCACGAAGGCAGTCGTCGACCAGGAGAAGCGCCTCGAGCCTTGCCGCGGAAGGATCTCGCTGAGCGCCCCAGTGGAGCTTTGCGACCTGCTGGCGGAGAGGGAGTTCCAGTAAGCTCGATGCGAAGGCCGCGCGGCCTCAGACCTTCTTCCAACGCGAGGAGGGGTTCGCGGAGAGTCAGAACCCGCGGCGAGGAGGGCGCCGGGTACCTGGGGACCCCGAGCGGAGGTCGAGGGCGCGGGGGCGATGGAGCTGGAGGCTTGCCGAGCGCGCGCGAGGGGCTCGGGGAGGCGCGCCAGAGCGGGCCCCGAGTGCGGGCGGAGCCAGGCAGCTCGCGGCCCAAGCGGCGGGGACAGGGTTGCTGCGACGGAGACGGAGCTGGCGCCCTGCCGCGCACTCAGGAGGGGCTCGGGGAGGCGCGCCAGAGCGGGCCCCGAGTTCGGGCGGAGACAGGGCGCTCGCGGCCCGGGCGGCAGGGCAAGGAGCGCAAAGGCGTCGGCGCGGCGCCCGGAGTCTCAGGAGGGGCCCCCCTCAGCGGGCCCATGGGGGCGCGGGGGGCGCAAGTGGTGTTTCCCGGCGAAATATGCAGGAAGAGCCGCCCCGCCCTCCACCAGCGGTCGTGCTGGAGGCGAGCGGCCCCGCGCGCCCACATGGGTTTTCTTCCGAGGTAAACTTCCGGGGGGCAGAGTTCAAAATGCTCGTCGCAATGGCGACGGGGGGCGCGAGGGCGAGGCGTTTGACTTCGCGAGGCCCCTCGGCGAGGATGCGCCCCTCATCTGACGAGGGGGCTGGGCGGGCGCCCGGCCCTCGACCTCCGAGGCCCGCGATGTCGATATCCCGCTCCAGCTCTTGCACACGGGAGTCGGCCAGGGTCGCGCTGACCTGGGCTTGGGCGCGGCATCCTGCAGGATCCCGCAGGATCCTCCGCGTTGACCCAGGCCGTGCAGGATCTTGCTGGATCTTGCGCGATTCTGCAAGGCCTGAACGACCTGGGCCTGGATTGACCCGGGTCAGAAGGTCCCCGATTTCGGCGGCATGGGGGGGTGGAATGGCGCGGGTTCTCTCCGGTTCTTTTGAAGAGGCCACCGCTTTAAACTCGCCCAGGCAAGCCCAGAATGACCACCGGGGCTCGATCTAAATATTGCTTCAGCGATCTCATGGACCTTCTTCTCGGTGGTTTCGTTTTGCAGCGCCGAACGAAAACGTGGCGAGGGAAACGACAACACAACGAAAACGGAAGCCATTGTTCAGGATGAGCCCTGACGTCCGCACCCATCACGACCATAATACCCAACGCGGCCACTCTAAACCCGTCGATGCATGCTCATCAGCACCAGCTTATAGGATGCCACCGTACACCTTGCACATGCCCAGCGACGCCACGCGCCTGGTGGCCCCCCAGAACCTGGAAATAAGCACAGGGAGCCGAAGGAACGGTCCACACCGCCATTGCGCCTCCGCGGGCCAGTCTCGGGCCACGCGGATGGGAGGCGAGTGCGCATCGACGCCCGGCCCACGGCGGGCCTACTGGGGCCTTGTGGTGGTGTATGGCTGTTTCCTTTCTCTCGGCTCTGATCGGGTTGGGCGAAGGGGAAGCATTGGGGCAGGGGGGGGCGCGAGATTTGCTTCATGCAGCCGGTTTCTATCCCGCCGCCAGGCGCTGCCCCCAAGACACTAGGCGCTTCCAGCGCTGGGAGGGACTATACCTAAGTCGGGCATGTTCCTCAACAGGAAAACTATATTCGAACAGTCCAAAAATAATCCGGTGGCGATTCTTCGTGCACTCTATTAATTATCATAAAACAGGTATTGCAACTGTTTCTGTTCGAAATCCGCCTGTGGGAGTACATGCCCGACCTCCGACCAGCAAGACGGCAGTCAAATGAGCTGATTCGCTCCTCCTCCTCCTCCTCTGCCGTCGCCCTCTCTCGTCTGCCCAGGTCCACACTCTCGGGTCGCAGCTCCTGACAGGCTGAAATTCAACGTCGGCCCCCCCGTGTTCGTGATAGTTGGCAGTCCTAGTACAGCCATCCCGATTAGGAAAGATGAGCGGTTTCCCGAGGTTGCCCTTTGCATCCTCGTCCACTGCGCCCATCCTTGGCGCCTGTCGCCGGCCAGCCTCGTTCGAAAAACGTTGACATGGGCCTCCAAGGCCCCTGCATCCTCACTGCGCATCCTTCTTACACGGGTTGACGTCGGGCTCCATCCCGCGGGATCCCGCTCAATCCAATTTGATCCTGGGCTGGATCCGGCCTGCATCTGCTTAATAGCCTTGCCATCGGGATTCGTCGTCTTTTCTCGGTGCTTGTCGGAATGCCGCCCACGAATACTTCCCACGATCAGGAATCCAACTCCTGAGGAGTTGGATTCCTGATCATTTCTGGACGTGTCCAGCCATTACCTGGAGGCCAGTGGAGGCCTCTGCAAGCCCAACTATTATCAGCAGTGTTAAACTTTTTGCTGAAGACGAAAAAAAATACGTTATAAACATAAACTTTTGGCACTGCGCGCAGATTTCTTGGATTCGCGCTGGGCCCCCCTGACGGCGCCTCCGGCGCCGCCCCTGGCGCGCGGAACGCGCCAGGGAGGGGGGTCAGCGCAGATCCAAGAAATCCATGTGGAGCGCCAAAAGTTTATGTTTATGGCGTTTTTTCTTTTAATTTTGATTCTCGACGGTTGATCTTTCTGCTCTCCTCAGGTTTCTCCCCAGGATGCCTGGGCCAGGCATATTTGCTGTGGGGTCCTCGGCTGAAGGCTCTCGGACCGCCTCGCACACGCCCGCCTAGGAGGGTTCCGGCATCTCTAGCCGAGGCTCGGGGGCTTCCAAGCCGTCCTGGAGAACCCACCGTGACTTTCTCGGCCTCACGGCGGGGATGCTCTCTGGAGGCCGCCTGGGCGACCTGGAAATCCTGGGCGGTGCCCGCTGTTGTGCGGCATTCGCTCCTATTGCTTCCTGTTTCCGGCGGTTCAGCTTTCTCTCGAGAGGGCGGGGCTTATATTGTGCCTCCATGCGCGTGGAACCGAAGAACACCTCGGGCCCCGAGAGAGACGCCGACGCAGGTCATGACGGACAGCTTGAAGGCCGAGTTCCTCATACAGGCGCTCCTGAACGTGGTGCTCTGCGGGCTCCTGTGCTACGAGCAGTTCCCCGCCGCCCCCGCGGCCCTCTCCTTGTGGAGCCTCCGCAGAGGGACCGCACGCCTCGCGGGCCTTCGCCCGCGCTCGGCGGCGAGCGAGGGGGGGAAGCGAGAAGTCAGGAGGAAAAGAAACACACAGACACAATTAATCCTCGATTCCCCAGAAAATATGGGAAAATATGGGAAGTGGGGGGGAAGACAGAAACCCCGAAAATATGGAAAAATATGGTGAATCATTTTATTTGTGTGTATTTATTTGTGTGTCCTGGGGCCCCTTTAAGAAGGGGCGGGCCGTCTCAGAAGTCTCGGAGGCCCCCAGGACTTCGGGGAGGATTCCGGAGCCTTCCCCGAAGGCGCAGCAGACCCCTCAGAAGGCGGGGGGGGGGCTTCTGAGAGGTCCCGCCGCCTCCTGGGAAGGCCTTCTTCTCCTCTCCCCGCCTCGCTCGCGGACCGACACTCGCTCCCTCCCTGTCTCTCTGTCTCTCTCTCTCTCTCTGCCTCCGTCGGGCCGTCTGCGGCAGGCCCTGGGCACTGCTTGCTTCTCTCTCTCTCTCTGGTCTCTGGTCTCTGGTCTGGTCTCTCTCGCGGCGCGCGCGCGCTCGGCCCGCCTGGCCATCAGGAGGAGGAGCATAGGAGGCGGAGATGGCGACGGCGACGGCGACGCCCTCCGCAGGCCGTCTGCGTCTGGTCCCTCTCTCTCCTCCTCCTCCTACCTCCTGCTCCGCCTCCTCCTCCTCTCCTCCTCCATTGATTCGATTGTTCCTGGACCTCCTGGCGTTTTGGAGAAGTTCAGATCAAGTCGGGCCTCCTGGACAAAACCGTGACGTGCGCCTGCCCTCCCCCTCTACACGCCGACGGACGCAAGCTTCGAGCCCAGAAAGCAGCGGCCACCACCGTGATGAAGCGCCAACGACAGCGAATCGAACGATTGCGAGGTCGGCGTAGCGCGATTATTGGTCCGGATACCACCTCTGGATTTGGGCTCTGGTCAGATGGCATCCCCGTGGACCCAGACGAGCACCACATGGGCCCCTACCACCTGGGGAAAAACGGCATCTCGGGCGACACCTCGGACATCTTACTGGATTTAGATATGATGGCCCCAGGGACCTTCTCCATGGCATCCCGACCCAACAACGTCCCACATGGGACTACCGAAAACTCGCGGATGCTCCCCAAAAAGTTTCTGGTAGGGACGATTTTCATTATGACCTTCAACAAGGCATGCAGGATCAAGCCTCTTTCTTCGCGGACTGCACGGACAATCATGAACACATATTTCTATTACGACACATGGGCGGCCACGGTTCGAGAGATTGGATTGAAGCACTTCGGCGTGGTCGCCAGCACTCCTGACACAGCAGAACATCTTTTGCAAAAACACAGGCTTGAGTTAGTAAGACAACAGGAGGTCTTGCGTTTGGAAGCAGCATAATACTTTTCGATGTATGGCGCCGTCCCTAACTATGACCACATGCACCTGGAAGTCCTTGACTACCAAGCGCATCAACTACCACCTACGCCAGCGGGGACGACGCCGACGAGCCCTCCATCGCAACCGACTGCATGAAGAGTTTCGGGAGGCTCGCGCCGAAGGGCAGCAGGCTGAAACACACAAGTTGGCACGATTTCTTCCTGGCCGCTCCTCTGGTGCGAAAACAGAAAGTACAACACCATCACCGCGTACCGCCCCACTATGGAGGGAGCTACGGAAACACTTTGAACGCCCTGGCCCTGAAGGCGGCACGGAAGCCGAATACATTCCCAACCTGCAACAGGTGCTCACCATTGCCTCGACGAGGAGGCCACCGTCCGGATGCGCAGCCACAGGACGGAGTTGACCGCTGAGGTGTTGACACGTCAAATGATTTGCCAGTTTCGACGGGCTAAACGGCCACGGTGTGGGCCTTCATGGAGTGTACTGTCGGAAGTTGCTCGGAGAATTCTCGAACCAGGGTACCTCTCACGACGGCGCAATCCGAAATTCTGGTGTTGGATATGGTAGCAGCATCGAGGAACACATGAATCCGACTTTGGCTGGCCATATGTTCCGACGGCCGACCCGAACGACGCGCCCCAGATGGACCTGGTAATGTGTTGCTTTCTACCGAAGGACCCACCCTCGCCCGACATGTGTTAGTGAATGTCATCATTCGTTTTACGCAGGTGGGCCAGCCCCCGACAACATCGAACATCATTGGAGGCATTCCCTTTAACAAATCCAATGGCAAGAGCAAGACGCTCAGCCAACGAACCGTGCATCTTTCCGTTGTGTGTTAGAAATTGTTGTATGCAGTTCTCTGCAGCTCTGGTCTATGGCGATAAGGGCGATACGTTCGAACATTCTCCTGGTGGTCATTGGCATGGATACTCGAAACGACGACGCAGAGAAGGTGCCATGCTTACGCAGCTTAAAGCGGTCAATGAGACCTTGGCAAGTTCTTCGTGTTTGCAAGCTGCACGATATGACCACTTCTTTTAAAGCTTTGATGGGCCCATAATTACGATAAGTGCTAATACAGTCCGAATCTACGATCCGGGAGGGCTCCTCGGACTTCGCGCACCAGCGCCTCATCCAAAGCGTTGCCCTGATCCCAGTCGACAGCGAGCCTGAGGCTTTCCTAACAGAAAATCGGGGCCCCAAGGCTCGCGCGAGGCCCCGCGGCAGTCCGCACGAGTTTCATATACATTCTACAACGAGATCCGCGAGGCCGACGGGACCGCCATCTACGTCCACAGCGCCTTCGGGGCCCATTCCCTGCACTGCTCCATGGTAGCTCTTGCAGGCGAGTTACGTCAGCGACGCGTCTTGGGGGCATCTTCGGCGTCTGAGGCCTTGGGGGCGCCCGGAAAGACTGGCCTCAGAGCGCGCGCGCTTCCGGAGCAGAACAGTTCCGCCAGAACGTGCAACAGAAGGACGTTATCCGCTGCATTGGGCGCGCGTTCAAGAACAGTGCCCCTCGGACTTCGGAGCGGCCCGCGCGCTCGCGCGGCGTCTAGGAACCAGGCGCCGCGCGAAGGGTCCCAGCGCCGCGGAGCTTGATTGCAGGCGCCGAGGAATGCAAGCTGGACGCTCCTCTTCGGCAAGGTCGTGGAGAGCGGCGTCGCCAGCGTGGAAGCTTCAGTATCTTCTCCGCAAGAATACCAGGAAGTCGATTCGGTCGCAGCGAAATACCTGGGAGTTTTGATGGGGGCGGGCCACCGCCTACGACGGCCCGCGCGCCCGATCTCCGAAGTGCTTTCTCGCTGGGGGATCCTGCCGGCGCGCGGCGAGTTGGCCGCGCGACGCGTCGAGCGGCCGCCAAGCGCGCTGCGGCGCCATCGGGCCCGCGGCCGGATCATCGCTGCGATGCTTGGTCACTTCGACGGCGGGGGGCCCGCTGCGCAGTCGGATGGGCAGCTCGGCAGCGCGGCGAACCCGCGGGCGTGCACGTTCGATGAACATGCGAAGCTCTGCAGAGGGATCATCGGGACCGAGGCCTTTTCTCGAGCTATGGGGAGGTCGTGGGCGTTCTTGGTCCGATCTTCAACTCTTTAGCGAGGCCTCCCACGAGTTCCTCAAGATCGACCCTGCTATGCTAAGAGCTGCCGCGTATACGGACTACACTAAGTGGGCCACCCTATTCCCTGATCTGCATTCTGGAGCAGAACAGTGTGAAAACACCTACGCGCGCGCTATCGATGCCTCCGACGGGACTCTATGTGGACAACAGTTCGAGACCTGCAGGGCCCCCATGGGCCACCAGACCAACAGACATAAGATGACCTGTGTTTTACGCATGAGCCGCTATTAATCACCGTCCTATCAGTATGAGTTACTTTCGAGATGTGCACGTGCTCGCGAATCTCTTAAACACTCTTATGGATCTTCACGTCGTGCGTTTGGACGCGCGTGCTCATATGTCTTGGGGGCCAGTTCAGCGAGGGATTGGACTTGCCTGGTGTGCTCCGTAGCCCTTGAGTCCAGCCTCCACTTGCAGCGACGCGTTCGCGATTCGCACCTCCGACGACCACTGCCAAGATTGCGTCGCGCCAGCGCTCCTGGGCGCAGGCGCGCAGGGGGGCCGGCGGCCGCGAGAGCAATCCGAAGGGCCCCGAGACAGATTAGACCACGCCCGACGACGACGCCAAAAAACCACCCGACGAAGGTGCTCTGTCTCATGGCGAAGCAAATCTTGAAGCTTTCTCAGACGCAGCGGGGCCTGGCAGGCGTGGTCTTCGACGCCTGCATCGCCCCCGCGGACCGCGCCGTCGCGGCGAACGTGAGCTGGCAGACGTCCGCCTACGCCGGCCGGGTCAAAACCAAGGGAAAGGATCGCGAGGTCGGCCTGCCGCTCATATGGGCCATGGGCGGTTTTCCTATGAGCGCTGATCAGCTTGGGCGAAGGAGTCGGGGACAGGGCGTCCAAGGAGCCCTCCGCGGCGCGCGGGGAGTGCCGAGACTACCCAGTGCAACTTAAGTGCGATATCGTTCTGTTCTGCCGCCAGGACAGAATGTGCCAGAAAGATTCTCGCAGGGTTGCGATGGCTTTCAGGGGGCCCATTCTTTCGGAAGATGATCGTGGAGGCTACGACGCAAATCAAGGGGGTCAGGAGGAAATTCGGCAGGGCCCTCGCGTCGTACATGGAGCGGAATTGCAAACCTTTCTGGAGACATTCTTGAGCAAGACAGGGTCCTGTCTGACTCAGAGATCGAAAGCATCCACGTACACACTTTTACGAGGAAGGGGCGCGAGGATTTCTTGAGCCATCCGAAGGCCTGTGCTAGTGCGCCCAGTCAGATCCCCCACCCGTCGAGACCTCCGACCCCCCCCTCCTACAATTCGGTGCCCTGCCGAAAGCCCAAGGTGTGCTGGCCGGCCCTCCCCCTTCGGAGCCCCCAGACCTCCTCCACCTCTGTCGACTGCACACTTAGCGACGGAATCTGTCGTTTCGAGCGGGATTTTCCCAGGGTCCGCCCAGTTTGAAAAGATGTTGAAAAGTACACATGTTCTTCGATATGGCCGAGGAGAAGGCCGCTGAGACTTAATTTCAAGCTCCCTGTGGCTACTTCGCGCGTCAGTGGCTGCAGGGGCCAGGCTGGCCTCGTCTCGAGGCCCAAGCTGCGGCCCCCGCGCATAGGACGTGGCCTGTGCACCTTTCCGACAGTCCGAGGATGACCTCGCCAGAGCCATCCGGAAGCTGCGCCAGGCGTATGCTACTGGCTACGCGCGTTTGATCATGTCAGCATCGCGGAGTAGCACACCCCCGAGAAAGAAGGGGATAGTGGCGCTAAAGGTGTGCGAATCGAATCCAATTGTCGTCGTCCTCTTCCTCCTCCTCCTCCTCCTCCTCCTCGTCGTCCTCCTCCTCCTCCTCCTCCTTCCCTCTGTGTCTCCGTCTGGCCAGCGCGACTGCGCAGAAGGGGTGAGGTCGATTTTGATCCTCGTTCCAGTCCGGTGCCCTGTCCGCACTGGGCGCGCCCGTCATAATCACCCCCTCCTTTCGGACGGGGCCAGGACGAGGATGAATCCGCTCCAGGGTGCTCCCGAACGCTCTGAGGAGGTGCGGCGCCCGAGGCATCCTCCAAAGCCGCCTCAGAAGCTCGATGTATCCTCACCCGATTTTCTCCTCGTCCTGGCCTCGGCCTTCCCCTGTTTTTTATTGGTCCCTCTTTTAGGACTTTCTGGGGGCGCGCTGGCTCTTCCCCCCCAGCTGTCTGCCGAAGAGGCTCGGCGGAGCATCTTCCCCCTGGTGCCCCTGGCGCTTCGCGCCGTTTGGCAGCCCCTGGCGCCCCCTGGGCCTCGTTCAACCAGTGGCGAAGCGTCCTGGCTTGCCTAAAGTGCCTAAAGGTCCACCAGAGACAGTTCCAAGAACCTTGTGTGGTTTTCCTGAAAGGTTCTTAGAGCATGTCTGTTTGAGTCTGTGTTGTTTTAATACATAGGGTTTATGTATTAAAAGCTTTGTTTTGGTTATTCGAACACTTTTGGGTGCTCTACAAAATTGCGTGGTAAAACTGTAGGAATGCCGAGACCGTCGGTCCCTGCTCAACTCGTGAGGGGTGCATGGAAGGCCGTGGTGGCCTTATCGGAAATCCCGGGAACACGTTGGGCCGGAGGCACTTCAAACAGCACCCGAGTCTTGGAGACGTCTGGGCGGGTCTTGGGGCCGTCGTGGGTCGCTCCGTGGGGCGTTTTTGTTCCATGGGTTCCCGAGCCGCCCTGGGCCAGTCTCGGGCCTCTCTTGAAGGCTTTCTTGTCCCGTCTGTGAGGTTGCCAAGAGGCTCTCGGAAGGCTCCTCGAGTTGATCAACAGGCTTCGGAAGCAAAGCGCACCGAGTCTTGGTAACGTGTTGCATCGTTTTCGGGTCTTGGGACATCGCTGGAAGCCTCTCCTGGCCTCTCTTGAAGGTTTTCGAGGGGTGCTGTTGAGGCATGTCAGGGAGATCTAGGAGCTTCTACAGGCCCCGCCCCCCTTCCCCCGCCCCAGTTTGTGCAGTATGTCGCCTTCCCGCTGGTGGCTGGGCGTCGGCGGCAATCACCTGCGCCGCCGCCGTTGATTTTCAATCTGGCGGGCGCCACCCCGCGATTCGCCCGATTAGGGACCCCGCGATTCGCCCGATTAGGGACACTATTTTTCTCGGCGCGGGCCCCTGGCGGATTTGTAAATCACAAGCTGAAGTTCGAGCAATCTGTTTTTCTCCTGTCTCCCTCCTCCCTTCCCACCGTGCCCAGTACCCCATCTCTCGTCCGACCCGCCCCACCCCCTCTTCCTTCCACCCTCCAGTGTGGTGTTTTCCAACGTTGCAAGGTTCCCCTTCCTGCCAGACCTGACGTGGGCGGGCCTGAATGACAAGGGCACGGTCTTGATCGGGAAGCTGTACGGGATTTGGGGCATTTGGCTGACGACCGTACCCGCGCTTCGAGCACGGAAGCCGGGCGGGCCGTACGGCATGGGCTACGAGGACAGTCGGTGGTTATGTTTTCTCCGCCACTTCCCACTCACCTCCCCACCTCCTCTGCCTCTCCCTTTCCATGTTTCGTTCTTCTCATCCCCCTTCTCTCCTCTTCCCTCCTTGTATGTCTGGTCCTCCTTGCTGCTAGCGCACATGTTCGTCGTCGTTCGTCGTCATCGTCGTCGTCATCGTCGCTACCGCTACCGTAGTCGTCGTCGTCGTCGTCGTCGTCGTCGTCGTCGTCGTCGTCGTCGTCGTCGTCGTCGTCGTCGCCGTTTTCCTCTTCCCCTCCCTCCGTCCCACCCTCCCCTCCTCGTCGTCCTTCTCCTCCTCCTCCTTCTCCACTCCTCCCCTTCTCCTGCTCTACTTTTCCTCTCTCTCCCTCTCTCTCTTTCTCTCCCTCTCTCTCTATCTTCCTCTCTCTCTCCCTCTCTCTCCTCCTCCTTTCCTGTTCTATCCTGTTCTATCCTCGTCCTCCTCTGCCTCGCCCCCCCTCCCCCTCCCACCTCTGCAGCGACCATTTTCGCTCAGGGGCTTTGATGTTCTCAGGGAGCCGAATGCCGTCAGCACTGGTAGTAAGGATGATCGACTACCCAGCCATCGGTCATCTTCGCTCCATCCTGCCTCTTCGGTCAGCTTCGGCCCATCCTCGACCACTTTGGATGGCCAGCCCCGCTCGAAGAGCCTCGACATGAGCCTACAAGGGGCTCGCATCCCTACCAGGCATTCGTGTTCACAGTTTCGACTGCGCCGCTGTTCCGCGGCTTGCTTCCGCACCTCGAGAGGCAGTCCGCCCTGCTCTCTCGCCGTGGGCCGTCCTCGCCCTGCCTCGCGCACTCTCTCGGCCCCGGCGGTGCGGCCGTGCGCGGCCACCTCGAAGCAGTCTTTCGTCACGATCCCCTCGTTTCCCATGTCGTGTTTTCGTCATCAGAGGTTGCACAGACAGCGTCTGGCAATTTTGACGGCAAAGTGTCTGAAGCCTGGAATCGACGGCAGATCGAGGCCAAGACAGCCAGCGCGCAATTGAACGTTCTGCGCGATTTGGTCGTTGCGCACAGCAGCTGAGTTAATCAACGAGCAGCTTCCTAATTCGTCCTCGGCCAGCGTGCGTTCGCCGTGGTGGGGACCAGAGGGCGGCAACGGGGACCGCAGAAAGGTGGAGGCAAAGGATGTGGAGCCGCGAGATCGCCGGTTCTTCCCGGCGCCCCAGTTCAGCTCCGGCCCGTCCGTTCCGCTCGTGCCAGCTCCGCGCCTCTCCCCGGGGTCAGGGCTGCGCGCGCAGGCCCAAGTTCCCCCTACAGTGCCGTTTTTAATACATGCCCCACGTGCGGATCATGTATTTAAAATCCAGGGATTTAGTATTGAACACAACGATGAGTTCATGCATCAGTTTGCTCATAGATTAGTCACGTATCAAACTCCGATATTCTTTTTACATCCTATGTATTGAAAACTGCCCTGTAACGTGGGGCAGCGGGCACGTGCTTTCTCTGCCCATGCAGGAGGACAGCACCCGTAGTAAGCTCGTGCCAGCTCCGAGCCTCTCCCCGGGGTCAGGGCAGCGCGCGCAGGCCCGAGCTCCCCCTTAGGGTGGGGCAGCGGGCATGTGCTCTCTCTGCCCAATGCAGGAGGGCAGCACCGACGCACGGCGCCCGCAGGCGTGGCGGCAGCGCGAGAGAGCAGGCCCGACAGCATGCGCCCCAGGGGCGCCACGGCCAGCGGCGCACGGAGGCAGTCGCCCCCCCTGGGGACACGGTCGGCGGGGAGCGGCGCTGCTAGGGGGCCACATGCGAACCCTACCCCTACCCCCCACGATTTCTGAGGGGGAGGGTGGGGTTCACTTCGTTCGGGAGGTCACGAGCGAAGGGAACCCCACCCTCCCCCTCAGAAATCGTGGGGGGTAGTATGGGGTAGGGTTCGCATGTGGCCCCCTAGCTGCTGATCGTGCTCGTGGGGGTCGCGGTTCAGCCCAGGACTCGGTCGCATCAGGTGCGGACGGCAACGCCACCGCCGAGGACTCCGAGGGCGCCGGCAGATACAAGCCCGTCTTGCATGGACGACAGCGTCAGTATACAGTGAGGGAGCTCCTGGTCCAGCGGCATCTATCCAAGGCATTCCATGAGCTACGCGCAGCTGAAGGTCGGCTCAACCGTGCAGTGCAGAAGCTCAATGCAATGGACAGCGCCTTTGAAAAGCAGCTCGGTGAAATTCGATGGCTCGGTACGGAGCTTGCCACATTCGTGAGCTTCCCGCTCAGCAACTACACGCCTCAGTTGCATCCCTAATTCCCCCCCCCACACCGAAGCTCCCCATCCGCGGCATGCTGGTCGGCTCGCTGGAGGGTCTGCCCATCAAGTTGGGGGATGTCCTTCAAATCGGCGACCTTGAGGGCTTGGAGCTGGGAGAAGAGGACAAGGGCCAAGGCGAGGCCCTCGCGCTCTCTCCTGAGGGCAGTCCCAGGGAACAATCCAAGGCACCGTCAGGAGGGAGAACTACACACAGACACAATTGATCGTCGATTCCCCAGAAAATTATAGGAAAATATGGGAAATGGGGGGAAGACACAACCCAGAACATATGGGAACATAAGGGGAATCTAGCTCTTTTGTGTTTATTTCTTTGTGTACCCCAGGGCCCCTTCACACTGGTCCTGTTGCAGCTCAGAAGGCTGACGCCGTCAAAGCCGAACACCCAGCCCTACTCACTCGCCTTCTCAGGAGAAGCCGCGCGCCGACACAGGTGCGAGGAGGAGGAGGAGGAGGAGGAGGAGGAGGAGGAGGAGGAGGAGGGGGAGGGGGAACAGGAGGGGGGGAGGAGGGGGATGGGGGCGGGAGTGGAGGGGTTTGCGTGCGGCCCTGCATCTGCCACCACGGCGTGTAGTCTTTTTTTTGTTTCTTGTTCTGCCGATCGGCGCGGGCCCTCGCACCCCCCCCTCTCCCCCCCCCCGCCTGGAGTAGATCTTGGCTGTTTTTGGCGCCTGTTTCGAGCAGGTGGAGTCTCCCCCACAGGACGCACTGCTTGCAAACAGTGGCACCGAGCAGAGGTCCTGAGCCAGTCCGAGCAAAAAACAGTCCGAACAAAAAAACGCTCAGCATCTTTAGCGCTCGAGCTCGGACCATGCCGTCCTTCGGGGATGCCAGGAGGAGGAGGAGGAGGAGGAGGAGGAGGAGGAGGAGGAGGAGATGGAGGAGATGGAGGAGATGGAGGAGGAGGAGGAGGAGGAGAGGAGGAGGAGGAGGAGGGAGGAGGAGGAGGAGGAGGAGGGGGAGGGACGGGGGGAGGAGGAGAAGGAGGAGGAGGAGGAGGAGGAGGAGGAGGACGAGGAGGAGGAGAGGAGGAGGAGGAGGAGGAGGAGGAGGAGGAGGAGGAGGAGGAGGAGCAAGAGGAGAGCAAGAGGAGGAGGAGGAGGAGGAGGAGGAGGAGGAGGAGGAGGAGGAGGAGGAGGAGGAGGAGGAGGAGGAGGAGGAGGAGGAGGAGGAGGAGGAGGGAGGAGGAGGAGGAGGAGGAGGAGGAGGAGGAGGAGGAGGAGGAGGAGGAGGAGGAGAGGAGGAGGAGGAGGAGGAGGAGGAGGAGGAGGAGGAGGAGGAGGAGGAGGAGGAGGAGGAGGAGGAGGAGGAGGAGGAGGAGGAGGAGGAGGAGGAGGAGGAGGAGGAGGAGAGAGGAGGAGAGGAACGAGAGGATCCGGTTTCCTGCTGTCGGGGGAGCTGGCCGGCACCCCTGCCCGGGCCTCTGTGCAACCTCTGCCCCGCGCCGCGGCGCAGGAGCCAGGCGCCGAGCCCGCGGCGGAGCGCCGCTGCCGTCGAGCAGTGGCGAAGCGTCCTGGCTCGCCGATAGCCCTAGCAAACAATGTTCTAAGAACCTTTTGTGGGCTCCACGAAATTCAGCGAGCGAAGAACAGTATAACATATAGATTGTTCGCCGTCGGGGCCACCTGCCCCTGGGCGGCTGGAAAGTTTATACCCCTACGGTGCCACCGTAAGGGTATTAACTTTCCAGCCGCCGCCCCCGGACAGGCGCTCCCGACAGCGAAAAAGTTTATTTTTTACCGTTCTTCGCCCGTTCAGAAATGTTCTGAGAATCGGGGGCGGCAAAGAGGGGGGTGATGACTAGGGGGTGGTGGATCTCATGGCGGGGGCCATGATATGTCCCCAGATTTCATGGCGCCTCTTCGTATTTCATTGCGTCCCTGGCCCCCCCCGCTGGGCCGCGGTCATGATTTGCCCCCCCCCCCCTCTTGGACACCCCCCTCCTGGCCGCTCCCGAAAGAACATTTCTGGCGGAGTCTGTCTTGTTTTAACACATCGGGTTTATGTTATGAGAGCACTGTTTTGTTCTTAGAACATGATTGGGTTCTAAGAACTTTTCGTGGTAGGACTACAGGAATGCCGGGACGGTCGGTCCCTGCTCAATTCCGAGCGGCCCGGAATTCTCACGGGGTTCGGGCGAGGGCGACAAGATGCACACCCGCGCGGGTTTCCCCAATCTGGCGAGTGATAGCATCACAGCAGAGAAAACTCCAATCAGTGGATGGTTTGAGATGGGATCGAACAAGAGATCGAGGAGGAGATCGACCGGGGACCGGGGGACCGGGGAACCCGGAAGCCACCGAAATCGGCCCGGAAGCAATGACCAGGAACCCGGGAACCCAGAAGCGGGAGCCCGGGAACCCAGCCCGGCACCAACATCGGCGGGAGACATTCGCCGAGTCTTTCGATTTCCGCTATAGGACCCCTTCAGTGCAGGCGCTGATTGGGAAATCTGCCGCGTCGAGGCGGGAGCGCTGGCTGCTTTCAGGCGCAGTCTGCGCGGCGCCGAGGCGGAAATTACATCTTGGCCGGCTCGCGCGTCGACGGAGCTGTTTGCGAGGTAGTTTCGCTGCGCCCGAGCGGGAGCTCAGGTTTCCAGAACATGGGCGCGGCGCTGGTGCGCGACCGTATTCATCCAAGGCGGGAATTGATCCATGTCCACCGCCTGGAGGGTCAGTTTTCGGAGCCTCGGCAGGCGGTGGATATGGACATATTCGGGCCCCTGCAGGCCGAAATTTGTCCATATCCACCGCCCGCTGGGGCACCAGGACCTCGGTTCCCAGGCGGTGGATATGGATAAATCCCCGCCTCGCAATTTAGGCTTTTCGCGCGGGGTGTGCGTCTCGTCCCACTCGTGCTACGCATCTCGCACCATGAACGACGCAATGTCCATGTTGAGACGACATTCGTGGAGCCCGTATCTTGTGTCAGAAGCAGGATGGGAAGTCCTGGATGTAGGGGCAGTCGGCCCGCTGCGAAGCAGAGTAGGAGTATGTAGCAATAAGGAAACAAGATGAGGAGGAACAGGAACAGGCTGATCAGTTATATGGATGATGGCGCTGAAGATGATGGTGAATGGTGACCATGGTGATGGTGCTGAGTTTGTTTGTGATGCCGATGATGGTGACGATCCGCGGACCGGCGGGCCCCCCACGCAGGAGAAGCGGGCCCTGGACCTGTCGTTCCTGGTTCTGCCCTTCATCTGCATCCTCACCCCGTTCGCCAGTCGGGACCCCGCCGCAACATTTTGGGCTTGTCTCGCCACCCTGGCCGGGCTGTGCCCTGGGGTGGGCAGGGGGAAGCGACCAGGAGACCCAGACACGCTCGCGCCGCCGAAATAAAACGTGCGACGGGCGGTGTTTTTGGCCGTTCTCTGCTCAGGGGGCCGCTGCACCGTCAGACAGCTGGTCGAGATCAGAAACCGGCCCTGGGGAAAGGGTCGGGGCTGCCGGGGACCGCTCATGTGCAAAAGCGACAGAAGGACGCACACGCACACGAATCCACGTGAATTTCGAGGCACGCGCTGCGCGAACGCTCGTAATAGGCCCGTCTTGCGGATCCAGGGTCCGTGCTCATGTACATGATTAGGCGTGCATGTCTTTTGTTGGTTCTCTCTCTCTCTTTTTCTCTCCCTCTCTCTATATATATATACGCATCTCTATAACTATGTATATGAAGATATCACTAATCAAGACGTCGCGGGTCTGGGAAAGGGAGAAGGAGGAGTAGAAGAAGGGAGGAGGTGGCAGGAGGGGAACGGGGGGGGAATACGCAGGAGGAGGAGGAGGAGGAGCAGGAGCAGGAGCAGGAGGTACGCCTGGAGCTGGAAGCGGGAGGAGCAGGAGGAGGAGCAGGAGGAGCGGAGGAGCAGCTGGCAGGAGGAGGCCCCTCCCCCCCGCTGCAGGTACGCCTGGAGCTTCACCACCCCGCTGCAGGCCGCCTCCGGCCCGCGCCGCGGGGCCGGGGGCGAGCTGCCGGAGCCGGTGCAGTGGGCGCTGCGGGCCCTCGACTTCGGGACCGGGGAGGAGCCCCAGCGGCCGGGGGAGCCCAGCACGGGAGGAGGAGGAGGAGGAGGAGGAGGAGGAGGAGGAGGAGGAGGAGGAGGAGGAGGAGGAGGAGGAGGAGGATGAGAGGAGGAGGAGGAGGAGGAGGAGAGGAGGAGGAGGGGGAGGAGGAGGGGTAGGAGGAGGAGGAGGAGGAGGAGGAGGAGGAGGAGGAGGAGGGGGAGGGTGCAGTCAGGACGCCGAGATCACGACCTTTTGGCCTCGGGAGGGGCTCTGGCCTTCGGGACGTTCGTGGGATCTGGGACGGGGGAGCCCAGCCCGCCCGCGCCGCTGCCCGTGCGCGCCCGTCCTCCCCGCTCTGGGGGGCTCCTGGGGCGCCCTCGTCGCCACCGCGGGGTTCGCCTCGAGGGTCAGGATGTTCCAGCCTGCTTTGGCCATGCTCACCAGAAAGGATTTCGAACACCAGCAAAAATACCGGAACTCGAAGGTTTTCACGTGTCGGGCCCTGGGAGACGCTCTTCAGACTGTTTCGACACTCTTTCGACACTCTTCCGGGTGCTCGAAATTATCTATGGGATGTGGTCCTTAAGTACGATGGGAGCAACATAACTCAAGGTCCTGGTCAGGACGCCCCCCGGGAGAGGTCCAGGGGGTAATTAGCGGTATCGGTACCCTTTGGTTTCCCCACACCGGCCGAGGAAGCATACAAAGCAGTATCGTTTAACCGATCCCTATCCCCATCCCCATCCACATCTCGAGCACCACCGTCTCACCACCTCAGTGGGGGATGTGCCCCTCGAGGCCCGAAGAGAGCAGCCTGTACCCTGACCTTCCAGGAGGGGTAGAACATAACACCGGACTTTAAAACCTATCCCACAGCTACGTCATGGTTTTAGGATGTCTCGTTTAGTTTTTGTTAGGTCTTTAGGCCTCCCGTGCTAAAAGATAGCTCTCTGGATGGTCAGGGTATCCCCTGTCTGAGGGGTGAATCTGCCAGTGCGGGCCCTCGACTTTGGGACCGGGGAGGAGCCCCAGCAGCCGGGGAAGCATGCAAGACTCGAGCGCGCAGCCTCCGGCGGGGGCGGCCAGGAGGGGGTGTGAGGGCTAGGGGGGGTGGACACCATGGCGTGGGCCATGCTATGTTCCCTCAGACTTCACGGCGCCTCCTCCTACAGTCGGCCCGGACGAGCAGGTCGACCCTGCCAAATCAAGGGTACCCTTTGTGTCCTGCGTCTCGCGACCCGTGCCTCCTGCATTCCTGTGGCAATGTGGCCCTCGGAAGGGTCTTTTGTCCTCCCGCATGTCCTGTCCGATCGAGTCCGACTGTATTTCATTGCGTCCCTGGCCCCCCCCCCATGGACCGCGCACGTGCCGCCAGCCACGATCTGCACCCCCCCCTCTTGGACGCCCCACTCTTGGCCGCCCCCGATGTGTGTGTGTGGAGGAGGAGGAGGAGAAGAGGAGAATAGGAGAAGAGGAGAAGAGGAGAAGAGGAGGAGAAGAGGAGGAGGAGGAGGAGGAGGAGGCGGAGGAGGAGGAGGAGGAGGAGGAGGTGTGTGTGTGTGTGTGTCTGTGTCTGTGTCTGTGTCTCTGTCTCTGTCTCTGTCTCTGTCTCTGTCTCTGTCTCTGTCTCTGTCTCTGTCTCTGTCTCTGTCTCTGTCTCTGTCTCTGTCTGTGTGTGTGTTTGTGTGTGTGTGTGTGTCTGTGTGTGTTTGTGTGTGTGTGTGTCTGGGGCCGTCCCCGACGCAGGAGCTCGGCTCTGCCGACGCTTCTCGACGGGCCGGCCCCGAGCTCTGGCGGTCCGGGTCTCGTGGGATGTCTGCAGCTCCTCCTCCTCCTCCTCGTTTCGTGGGATGTTTGAGCGGGAGGTCGCGTCAGATGACCGACCGGGTCTCGTCGTGTTCCTTTGTCGGGCCAGTCCGAGCCCCCCGAGCCCGCGTTCCCCGAGGCCCCAGCTCTGGGGGCAGAGCCTCGGAGGGGCAACGATTTGCACGTTTGCTGCGTCCTCCAAACCCTCCCCCCCGGTCAGCGGTGACGATCGTACGCAGGGGGGGGGCAGGGCGTTGGACGCCTTTATCGTCTGGCGCGTAACGGTCAACGGTCGGTACCTGCCCCCCCCTCACCTCCAGATAACGGTAACGATCGCACGCGTGTCGGATGGGCTGGACCTCCCCGCATGTTGGTGCTCGCGCGCATACTAGGGCGACCGCAGTGCACCCCCACCCGGACGTTCCCCACCGCGCCCGAGCGTTAGTTATTGTTTCTTTGGGGCTCCAATCCCACCCCCCTTCAGGTAACGACCACTACGATAAGGGGCAATGATCTAGATTTTGGCAGGTATGCTTGGACAGCATTCTTTGCCGCCCCCCCCCAAAAGGCGAGAGAGCACATCGCGTTCAGGTAGCTAGCGGCCGCGCTGGGGCTAGGGTTAAGTCGGGCCTGTCCCTCTACAGGAGGAATCTCCAAAAATGGTAAAAAAAGTAGTCTGGGGACGATTTTGCGAGTATTTTTGACATTTTTGTTGCACTTTTGTCGTTTCTGTTTTGAGTTGCATTTTTTCGCTTCTGTTTTGAGCTGTCGTCCAGGATCCGCCCGTGGGAGGTCATGTCCGACCTGAGGCCAGGGGCACACGGCAGGCCTGGGAGGAGAGGAAGAAGAGCCCTGACCTTCCAGGAGGGCTAAAAAAATAGCACCCGACGTAAAAGCCTATCCCAAAGCTATTCTACGTCTTGGTTTTAGGCTGTTTCGCTCAGTTTTTTAGGTTTTTAGGCCTCCAGTGCTAAAAGATAGCTCTCCGGAAGGTCAGGGAGAGGGCGGGCAGGAGGGCGGAGGGAGAGAGGCCAGAGATGCCCCGGGCGTCGAGAGTCTGCGGCGCGAGAAGCTCGACGAGACGCAAGAGTGACCCTCCGCCGGAGTGACCTCTGCCGGGCCGGGCGAAGTTGGGAAAGGGGGGGAGTATGAAATCTGCTGCGTGCAGCTGCTTTCGGCCCCGCCGCCGGGCCCATTCCTCGATACACGCGCGCCTCCCGGCGCCGGGAGGCACCGGGAAAATCAGCTACGTGAGCGCTGATTCTCAAGCCCCCCCTTTGCTATCGCCCCCTTTCGCCCGGCCCGACTTTGGTGCGGGCACAGAAGGGCCCTCAGATGGCAGAAAACGAAGCGGTAGCAGCCGCTTGCGCGCCCAGGTTTGGTTTCCCCGTGGTCCCCAAAAAGCCGCGCACCAAAGGTCACTCTTACCCAGGGTCGGGGAGACCTCCTACCATGACACGTCGATCAGCGAATTGGCCGTTTTCGGTTCGCGAGGGGGCGTCGCGGCCGTCATTTTTGCAGGTCCAGGTCCGTCGGTTTCGGTCCCAGGCCGTTTTCACTAAGGGGAGGTTTACTGAAGGGAGGTTTGCCCACCGCCGACAAATGGGCCCTCAGATGACCGAAAACGAAGCGGCAGCAGCGGCTTGCGCGCCCAGGTGTGGTCTCCCCGCGGCCCCAAAAATCAGGAGGGGAAAAAACACACAGACGCAATTAATCGTCGATGTCCCAGAATGTAGGAAAAATTGGGAAGTTGGGGGGAGGCAAAACCCCAGAAAATATTTGATAATATAAGGAATCCTGTTATTTGTGTGTATTTATTTGTGTGTCCCAGGGCCCCTTTACAAAGAGCCGCGCACCAAGGGTCACTCTTGCCCAGGGTCACTCTGGCGTGTGGCCGAGGAGTACGCGGGCGGCTTCGTGTACGAGCCGAGGCCTCCTGGATGTGAGTCGGGCGTGGCCCTCCACAGGAGGAGTATTCCAAAATGGCACACAAATACTCCGAGGATGACTTTTTTTGATTGTTGATTTTTGGGGGCATTTTAGTGTTTGTTTTTCTGCGTATTTTTCATTTTTCGTCCAAGATCCCCTTGTAGGGGGACAGGTCCGACCTAATCCCAGATGGTTCGAATAGATGGGGTCGGAGGATCGCGCCGCATCGCCGATGCATCGGCGATGTGGCTCGATGCGGAGTCCTATTCTGTCCACGCCGACGTCGCCGATGCATCGCCGACGTTCCCGGTGTATCGCCGATGTATCTCCGATACATCGGCGATGTAACGGCGATGCGGCGCGAATCTGTTCCGACCCCATCTAGGAGGCCTCTAGCGAGGGGCAGGTGTTGGCCCATCGAAGGTCCCACCCATCTTGCTGGATCGATCGAGGTTTTTGCCCAGTCTTTCGTTCTCGATGGATCGGTGGGGATTCGGGGTTCGAGGGGTCTTATTTCATCATGTTCGGCCTCCAGCGTCGGTTTACGGACCCTGGGTCATCACGAATGGAAATGACACCAAAATTGTCCCCGGGTAAGTGGTCGAGCCTTCTGGAGCCGTCGTCGTCGTCGTCGTCGTCGTCGTCGTCGTCGTCGTCGTCGTCGTCGTCGTCGTCGGCATCCCCCAGCATTTTGGACGTTTTTGCCCGTTGCAGTCGTCGTCGTCGTCGTCGTCGTCGTCGTCGTCGCCCTCCTCCATTTTTGCATGATGCTCGGCAAGCCCGCCCAGCGCGTCCGGAGGAGCGCGGTGCGCGGCGGGAGGACACCACGTGGCAGGACCAGCTGGCGAGCTACGAGAGAGAGGCCGAGAGGCTTGCGGCGGCGAAGGAGAAGGCGAAGAAGAAGGTGGAGACCTAGGATCGGCGGCGAGCGAGGGAGGGAAGTGAGAAGGAGTCGGACTTCTCAGAAGCCCCTCGCGCCTTCTGAGGGGGTTTTCTGTGCCTTCGGGGGGGGGCTTGGGGAACTTCTCAGAAGGCCGGGGGACTTCCGAGCCTTTGAGAAGGCCCGCGCCTTATCACTTCCCCCCGGGCGCGCCGCCGATAGGAGAGCGTCCTCGGCCTCGTTGCGGCGTCAGGTCTGCCGCGTGAGCCAACATGAAACGTCCCCCCTCTACAGTCGAGCCTGTGGGCCAGCCCCGCAACAAAAATATAGGCATCCATGCATTCCGTCAATGACGTTTCATGTCCCCTTCATGTGTGGAGCAGGCGCTGTCTTCGCAAGAGACTTGTGCCCTCTCGTGCGCCGTCCTCCGCAATCAGTCACGACTGCATGTGCACTGCCATCATTATTGTTGGTATGTTTTTCTGATGCCTGTTTCTCATTCCCATTCTTTCCGACTTGCCATTCGGACGTCCCCACATCATGGGCCCGCATATCGGCCACGTAGCCGGGACCGCTCGCTTCAAGTCACATGTTGGTCGGATCTTCGCGTTGGGGTGCAACACATGTTAGCAAGCGTGGACCCCCACAGTAAGTTATCGCGCTTCAGTGTAAGTTATGTGATGCAGGCTATGTGGTGTAATCTCCTTGGAGCAGGCTATGAGGTGTAAGCTATGTAGTGCCCAAGTGCGATGGGCGGTCACGGTTCGGCAACGGGCGACGACGCGGCGAAACGTCGACGGACCTCCCAAGCGGGCGGCAACGAGGCGGCATCTTGTGGCGGCGCGGCGAAAGTTCGACGGTCCCCCCCAGTTGGCGGCAACGAGACGGCGACTAGGCTTCAACGGGCGGCGACGCGAAGAATTTTCGACGGACCCATCCGAGTGGGCGGCACCGAGACGGCAACGAGGCGGCAACGGGCGGCGATGTGATGAAATCTTCGGACGAGACGGCAGCGAGACGGCAACGCGGCGGCAACTGGCGGCGACGGGGCGAAACTTCGACGGACCCCCCAAGTTGGCGGCACCGAGACAGCAACGAGGCGGCAACGGGCGGCGACGCGAAGAAACCTCGACGCCTACGTGGGCGTCAACGAGGCGGCAATGGGTGGCGACGCGGCGAAACCTCGACGGTTCCCTCGAAGAGGGCGTCAATGAGGCGTCAACGGGCGGCGACTCGGCGAAACCTCGATGGACCTCCCAAGGTGGCGGCAGCCGGGCCGCAGCGCGCGGCTGCGCGGCGAAGACTTTACGGATCCATCGAACTGAGCGGCAGCGGCGAGGCAACGAGGCGGCAGCGGGCGGAGATTGCGGCGACACCTCGACAGACGCTTCAAGCAGACGGCAACAAGGCGGTAACAAGGCGGCGACGGGTGGCGACGTGGCGAAAGTTCGACGGACCCCCCGAGTGGGCGGCACCGATCAGGAGCGAGAGAAGGACGTACATGTACATGAATCCTGGTTTCGAGAGTACGCATTGCCCGAATGTTCGTATCACGTGGCCAGTCTCGCGGATCGAGGGGCCGTGTTCATGCACATAGTTGGGCTCGTACGTCCTCTGTGGGCTCCCTCACCGAGGCGGCAACGGGCGGCGACGCGGCGAAAGCTCGAAGGGCCCCCCCCTGTGGGCGGCAGCGAGGCGGCAACGGGCGGCGACGCGGCGAAAGCTCGAAGGACCCCCCGAGGGGGCGGCAGCGAGGCGGCAACGGGAGGTGGCCACGGGCGGCGGCGCGGCGAACTTCGACGGGTCCCCCCAAGCGTTACGTCGGGCCTGTCCCCCTACAGGGGGATTTTCGACGAAAAATCAAACAAATAATACATTAGAAATGCACCCAACATATCCCCCCAAAAGGGAAACACAAATCAAACAATAGTCCCCAGGCTATTGTTGGATTATTTTCTAAGCATTTTTGGGGGTATGTTTTATTTTTCGCAGAATCAAAAATACCCCCAAAAGGCCAAAACAATTTGAAAAATAGTCCCCAGACTATTTTTGGACTATTTTCGAAGCATTCTTGGGGGGGTATGCTTTACTTTCCGCCGAAAATCCCCCGGTAGGGGGGGACAGGCCCGACTCAACCCAAGCGGGCGGCAGAGGGGGCGCCGACGGGGCGGGCGCAGCGGGCGGCTGCGCGGCGCAGGCTCGACGGGCCGCGCCGGGCCCCGAGCAGAGCACGTCGGCCAAGAAGCGGGGCCCCGCGCGAGGGCCGTCCGTGCGCAAAGGGGGGCACGGCGAGGAGGAGCCGCCCGGACGTGTGCATTTGTCTTTCGTTGGGCGCCGCGTAATGGGGGGGTCGTAAATGGGGGGGTGGCGAGCGTGGTCCGAAAAGGTACCCAAACGGTACCTAAACGAGCCCCCTGGGGCTCTGGAGGGGCCCGAAAGGGGCACGAAAGGGGACCTTTTCTGACCCCCCCATTTGTGACCCCCCCCATTAAGCCACGCCCAATTTCGGCGAGGACCATCGAGGAGCATCCTTGATCATCTGGCGAAAAAGCCACGCGCGAAACCAACAAAAAACACAGGGAATGGACGTCCGAGCGATGGCCACAGCGAGGGGGAGCCGCCCGGACCGGGCAGTCGGCTCGGCGGATCGGCCCCGACGCCTCCTCGTCTTCCCCCTCTCTTACCAGCCTCGGACTTGTCCCGATCCCTGAGATTGACACGCCCAAAGGCGATGACAATCTTAGGGATGCGCCCTGAAAAACTAGGGGAAATCCCTAAGATCGGCATTGTGATGAGGCGATGCCCAGCTTAGGGATAGGGATATGTTCCAGGCTGGTAATTCTCGGGGGTGGACAGAACCCCCACCCTGACACGTCGATCGGCTCCGACGCCTCCTCGTCTTCCCCTTATGTCGGGCGTGTCCCCCTACAGGGGGATTTTCGACGAAAAATAAAAAAGTACCACCAAAATACTCCAAGAAGGTCAAAAAATGCTAAAAAATAGTCCCCAGACTATTTTTGGACTATTTGGGTTATTTTTTCATTTTCTTCGAGAATCCCCCTGCATGGGGACAGGCCCGACATAATATTCCCATTCTCCGGGGTGGACAGAACCCCCACCCTGACACGTCGATCAGTGAGTTGTCCGTTTTCGATTCTCGAGAGGGCGCCGCGGCCGTTGTTTTCCAGGCTGGCGCCCGCCAGGTTTGGGCCCGAGGTCGTCTTCACTGAGCCACGTTTTGCTAAAGGGAGGTCAGTCCATCCTCGATATTTTCCCCTTGGGGGCGGCGCGAGAGCGCGAAGTCTTCGCGCTTCGCGCAGCGCGAAGCGCGAAGTTAGGCGCCCCTAGCGACAGGAAACTGAAGCATGGTGCTTAAAATCAGGGGAGGGAAAACCACCCGGACCGGACAATTGGCGTTTGCTAAACGGCCCTGGGCGTTTATTAAATAGCCCTGACTTGTTTGATTCTTTATTTGGGCGCGTTTACTACACGACTTCGCGTGTCGGGATGGTTATTACGGGGGCGGATTTTTTGATTTCTAAGGTGGGAGCTCGCGACAGTCACAGTGTCAGTCTGCGCCACGATATGTTTTTGTGTTATTGGCGAACGGGTCGGAGTGGGGTGGCTGCTGACTCGTTCGCCCTGGTTATCTCGACTCTGCCCCCCCCCCCGCCCCTGCCATTACGCATTCTCCATGCTCCTCCGACTGTGAATATTACTGCTCTCATTACCGCTGCACAGTTTCCCCTTCTTGTAGTGGTTCTACGGCCTTCGTCGAAGGGGCTCGTGTTTTTCACCCACCCACGTTCTTGTGACCATATTTCGATTGCACTCGTGCCGGCAAAAGAGCTCGCAGCCCTGATCGGTGCTCTGATCGGCGTCATAGCACTGTGCGCGCTCGTGCTCGTAGTATGGGAACTTCTCCACTCGTGCAGTTCATGCGCTTGTACTCGCGTGCGTTACTCGGGAGAGAAAGCAGCATGAGCATAACCCTTCGAAGGTCCACGCAGACGTCTGGGATCGGCGCCGCGCCGCGCGCCGGGCGCCGCCTTTGGCCGCCGCCGTCTCTCGGCGCGCTCCGCGCGCCAGGGGGCGGGGTCAGCTCAGATTTAAGAGATCCGCGCGGAGCTTCGAATGTATACAGTCGGACCGAGGTATAAGATCGTGGTTGGTTCGGGGAGGGTGCCCTGCTGTTCGTCGTGCTTGTTGGGTGCTCCTGTGCATCCTGAGGAGGGTGCCCTTTCCTGTTTGGTTTCGTTTGGCGACGGAGGGTCTCGTGTTCTTGCGGGATGCTCTTCTGGCCTAGGTCCAACTGTCATTGTCGGCCACGCACAGAGGGGGGTGGGGGGGAGGGGGAGGGCATCTTAGTAACACCCCTGCTTCTTGAAAGGCGCGGGCGTTATCGATCAGAGGTTGGGGGGGGAGATCGCAGTGGAATGGGGAGCCCCCCACCAGGAAATCGGTTTCGGTTTCGGGTTCGTGTCGTGCGTGCGGGCGAGGCGAAGCTTCGGGGGCGCGCGAGAGGAATGATGCCGCCGTGACTAGGGGCTGTGGAGCCAGTTGTGTGCCCCTCCCCCCCTGGCGCGCGGTGGCCAGGGGTGTCCCGTCGATAGCGCGGCGGTGTCCCGTCAGTGTCCCGTCGGTGGCGCGGCGGTGCCCCGTCGGTGGCGCGGGGTGTCCCGTCGGTGGCGCGAGAGTGAGGTGGATAGTGAGATCGATCGTGAGATCGATAGTGAGATCGATTGTGAGATCGATACTGAGATTTGTTGTGGGATCGATAGCGGGATCGGTTGTTAGATCGATAGTGAGATCTGTTGTGAGATCAATGGCGAGATCTCTCGTGAGATATATAGTGGGATCGACAGTGAGATCGATGGTTAGATCGATCGTGAGGTCGATTGTGAGGGGGATAGTGCGACCGATAGTGAGATTAGTAATGAGATCGACTGTGAGATCGATTGCGAGAGCAATCGCGATAACTATTATGGGATCGATAGTGAGTCCGAATGTGAGATCGATAGTGCGTTCGACTGTCAGATCGATGGTGAGATCGATTGGGAGATCGATCGCGAGATCTGTTGTGAGGTCGATCGTGAGCTCGCTTGTGATATCGATAGTGAGGTTGGTTGTCAATCGGTAGTGAGATCGATAGTGAGACCGACAGTATAACCTTATGTGAGATCGATAGTGAGATCTGTTGTGAGAACGATTATGACAGCAATCGTGAGATCTGTTGTGACATCGATACTGAGATCTGTCGTGATATCGAAAGTGAGATCGGTTGTGCGATCGATGGCGAGATCGCTCGTTGGATCTACAGTGGGATCGACAGTGAGATCGATACTGGGATCGACCGTGAGATCCATTGTGAGATCGACTGTGAAACCAATAGGGAGATCGATGTTGAGATCGATTGCGAGATCGATAGTGAGACCGATCGTGAGAACTGCTGTCGCATCGGAAGTGAGTCCGAATGTGAGATCGATAGTGCGTTCGACTGTTAGATCGATGGTGAGATCGATTGTGAGATCGTAGTGACATCTGTTGTGAGATCGATCGTCAGATCGCTTGTGAGATCGATGGTGAGTTTTATTGACAAATCGATCGTCAGATCGATTGTGAGATCGACTGTGAGATCGGTGGTGAGTCCCCGAAGGTGAGGGCGCTTTCGAGATCTATCGTGAGCTCTGTGGCGAGATCGAGAGCTTGATCCATGCGGAAGGAATCGATGGAAGGAGACGTTGGTTCCTCCTCCTCCCCCCTTCCCCCCGAACCTCCGCATCACCCCGAAGGGTGGCCGCACAGGCCGATGCAGGGCCGGCACCCCTCTGCCGCCCCCCGGGCAGGGGCGGGGAAGCCCAGGTGCGCGGCGGAGCCGCGGCGCGGACGGGCCGCCGTGCGGCGCAAGCGAGTTTTCCCCGGCGGAGCTCTCGCGCGCCGGCTGCGGCGGGCTCTCGGTGCGCGCCGGCAGGAGCGGTATGCGCGCGGCTAACAGATGCGGGCTTCGGGGGCGCCCCCCCCCCCCCCCCCACAGGACTGACTATATGTCGGGGGTGAACAGAACCCCCAACAGTGGCACGTCGATTCGTGAATTGTCCGTGTTCGGTCCTCGAGATGGCGCCGTGGCCGTTATTTTCCGGGCTTTCGCCCGCCAGGTTTGGGCCTCAGGTCGTTTTCACTAAACCACGTTTTGCTAAAGGGGGGTCTGTCCATCCCCGAATATGGCAGTGGGGGGGGGGTTGGAGTGACAGGAAGCTGCGGCTGGTGGTGGGGGGGCAGGGGGAATCGGAGCAGCGGGGCGACGAGGAGGAGGGGAGGATCCTTCTTGGGCGACGCATGGCATGCCCACCATCTCGCTGAGCGAATCATGAGCGAGGGAGACTGACCCCAAGATTATTCTTGGAAATCACGTTGGGAGTTGGGCCATTTAGCACTGATAGGACAAAGGGCGCAACTCGGAGCGACACAGAAGGGACAGCCACGCGTTTCCCCGAGTCGACTCCTGTCTGTAGGAGGCGACGCATGCAACATCCAGGGGACAAGTCGAGGAGGAAAAGTAGGAAGGAGGACTGAGGACGGAGGAGGAGGAGGACGAGGACGAGGGCGAGGAGTAGGAGTAGAGAGAGCAAGATGGCCATACGCGGGATCCATCCCCCGCGCGCGCCCGCGCGCGCCTTGCGGCGCGCCCGGCGGGCCAGCTCTGGCCAGCGGGAGCCGGCACCGTACCGCCGAGAAACGATAAACCAAGGCTTGGATGCGGAACCTTGATGCAAGCAGCGGCGAAGGGTCCTGGCTCGCCTATAGCCCTACCAAACAATGTTCTAAGAACCTTTTGTGGTTTCCACGAAATGTTCTTAGAACACTTCTGGCGGAGTCTGTCTTGTTTTATCACATCGGGTTTATGTTAGAAGAACATTGTTTTTGTTCTTAGACCACTTTTGGGTTCTAATATAATTTCGTGGTATGACTATAGGAATGCCGGGACGGTCGGTCCCTACTCAATTGATATTCAGAGGCTGAGCAGCAAACTGGCTGCTCGCCCAGCCTTTCTCAGGCTCAACCTCAAGATCCACAGGCCGAGCTTCCGGAATCTTCAGTGCTACGAGCTCATGCCATCATCTGTGGAGACCCACCTGCAGACGCCATGCTGAGACACAGCAGCGGCAGCGCGCCAGCGGATAGGGTACTGTGTGGGACACGGTCGCCGTCCAAACCCAGAGGACACCATGATCAAGACGATTGCCGCCTACATCAATGTATCTGGCATCGTACAGAAATGTGCACACCACGAGCTGCGAACCAATCAGCCAGGATTCGAAGGACAGGGGCTGCGTGACAGGCGCCCAGGTTGTGAGGGTCATCATGGAAGTAGCAACGGCAACCGCAGCAGCTACGACCGTGAGAACGGCAAGTACGACCTCGAGAGCGGGAATTACGACCGCGACCGCGAGAATGGCAACTACGACCGCGAACGCCGCTAGTATGTGTTCATAGATGCACCTTTTCTTGGCGCTGACGGGCCTCTGGACGATGCTGCCTTTCATAGTTACGATGGTCACCTGAGCTGCTCGGAACTCCTGGACTACATATACGTCGGCCACGACGGCTATGACGGCTACTTGGCCTACGGGTACACCGGCCAAAGCCGTCACCAGGGCGCCAGCATTCCTGGCGGGGTAGGACGGGCGTCTGGCTTCGGCTTGCCACCCTCCCCGGGATTCGGGGCCCAGCAGTTGGGCGACGGCCCCGAGGATGAGAGGGAATTGCGAGAAGGCGTTGTGCTGCCAGGGGTTTGGGCTACCATTGCATTGCTGAGCTACGAGGGCCACAAGCAGCGCGTGACGGGCACGGGGGCCACACGCTGAGCTGGGAGGGCCACGGGCCAAGCTACGAGAGCCACCAGCTGAGCTACCAGGACCACCAGCTGAGCTACGGGAGCCACCGGAAGAGCCGAAAGAGCTGCAAGGGCAAAGCTCTGAGCCACGAGGGCCGCAAGAGGAGCTCCGAGGGCCACAGGCAGGGCCACCGTGGCCACCATGGCCACCAGCTAATTTACGAGGGCCACGGGCTGAGCTGAGCAGGCTACAGGCTGAGCGACGCTGGACACGAGCAAGGCTACGAGTGCCTCCAGCAGAGCGGCCAGCGCCCCGAGCCGACGTGCAATGGCCACGGGCAGAGCCGCAAGATCCACCGCCACGGCTACGAGGACCACTTGCGGAGCTACGGGGGCAGCCAACTGGGCTACGAGGGCCGCAGAGCTCCGAGAGCTACCCTATGAACTACGGGAGCCACCGGCTGAGCCACGAGGACCACAAACTGAGCTTTGAGGGCCGCCAGCTGAGCTACGAGGGTCAACAGCAGGGCTACGAGGGCAACCAGCTGAACTACGACGGCAGCCGTCAGTGGAGCTACGAGAGCCACCAGCTGGGCTACGAGAGCCACCAGCTGAGCCACGAGGGCCACAGGCCGAGTTTCGAGGGCCGCGAGCTGATCTACGAAAGCCGCAAGCATGGCTACGAAGCCCACCAGCTGAGCTTCGAGGGTCACCAGCTGAGCTACGACGACGGCGACAAGTTGAGCCACGCATGCAACGGGCGGCGCCTCCCAATATGGACTCGCCCGAGGAAAACGAGGGGAGCGAGGAGCAGAGCGAGCCCTTCGACATCATGTACGCCGCACGGGGAGGGTTATCGCCGTACGCCGTACACCGTCATCATGAGCGCCGTACGCCGCACGGACTTCCCCAGGCGTATGATCGGCAAGGGTCGGACTATCACGGGGGATTTCGCCACCAGAGCCATCGCCAAATTCGTGAGCCCCGCCCAGAGCATTCCCCAAAACACGATGGCCCTCGTAGACATGAGCGCTCGTGGCCTTTTCGAGGACGGGGCGAGATGGTCCACGAGCGGGGCCATGTTGGAGCCAACAAGGCTCTCCTGTCCGCCCACGACCACTACGAGACGCACGAGGACCATACTCTTGTGGGCCAGCGTCCATTGCCTTGTTGCAGAACCGCTACGGCGGCAGTAGGACGCGCCAACCAGCAGCGACAAGTGTTTTGATGGCGTCGAGGACGGCATTGCCTTCCCTAGCGGAGATGTCTTCACGGCAGGGTGCTATGACCTGGCCAGCGACGACTCTGGGGCGTCTCCAGCAGCCGACTTCGAGCATAATGCGAGACTGGCCAGCTTGAAATCGGACGATTCCGCGAATTGAGAGGGCCAGTACATGTTGCCATTCCTTGGGCCGCGTGGACTCCAGACAGTGCGTCGTCGTGGGACCCTTAGTCCCATCCTTTGTGGTGCTGGGTACCGGGCACTCCGCGCCCACGGGCCCAAGCGAGCTGCCAGCGCATCTTAAACTAGCACACCTCGCCTCACCTTTCCTATTCCCTTTCTTCTTTCTGTCGTATTGTTTTGTGGGGCTGAGTCCTCCCCCCCTCCCTCTTCCCAGAATGGGTCGACCAGAGCAGCGAATTTTGTTGTGCCTCTGCGTGTGTTGTTTTCAGGTGTTTGGTCGTTGTGATCGCTATGCGGCCGGTGCGAGAGAGAGAGAGAGAGAGAGAAAGAAAGAAAGATAATGAGCAATTGAGGAGGAGGGGAGGGGGGAAGTTCGAACGGGAGTCCTCCTCTCTTCTTCTTCTCTTTCCCTTCCCTCCCTCTGCATTCTCTCCATCCTCCTCCTGCTTCTCCTCCCCTCGCTCCTTCTGTCCTCCCCATACCCTTCCTCTTCCGTCACCGCTTTCATTCAACTGTAATCCCTTCTCTTCTGACAGCCAGACGTGTCGGTATGGCGGATTGGACATTTCGCTTCATGGACCCTTAGATCCCGAAGCTTGAACGTGACACCAGTTTCCCGAATGGAAGCGAATAGTTTTCAACGTGCGGTTCTCGTTTAGCGCCGCGCAGATGCGCCCAAACAGTTCAACACTTGCAATGATTGATCGCATTCGTTTCAGCCATGTGGTTATTGTTTTTTGTGCGTCGTTTAATCGTTTCAACATTACCACCAGCTACATCTATAGATGGCGGTCATTGTTCAACATGTGATTGTTGATCAGTGGCACGCACATTCGTGTGAAACATTTTTTAACAGTTACACGGACGGGCGACGATTATTTTCCAAGATGCATTCAGTTCAAAACCGCGTTTACTATTTGAAACAACTCCTGGAAGTTGTCCCGCATTCGGGGCGTTACTCCGCGCACACTCCTCTGGTAAGTTTCGATGTTCGTAGATCGATGTTTTTCATTATATGGTGTTCGCCTTAGCGCCCTTCACACTCGCTTTGTTTCATTAAGCCACACTGTCTGACATCTACATTTTCGCAGCAGCTACGCGGATGCAGCGCGGCTCCTCTTCTCATGGCGGTTTCCGCTTTGGACGTAGGGTTTATTGTCAGACGTTTCATTATGGGATCACTTACGCGGCACCAGGGCGGATATTTTGCAGCGCGGGGCTATCGCATGACATTTCTCTGGCTTTTACGATCTTACTTCGTCTCCGCCCGTCTGGCTAGAAACATGGATGATTGCGGCTCCTGTTCGAAGCGCGGTTCTCGCCGGAATAAACACCATTCACGAATTACTTCCTTCATTGACAAGGTGTGAGCGAATGCTTGCACGGGACTAATTATGAGGAGCGGGCTTGAAATGGACAGGCGGGCTCGCAGCAGCATAGCTGCTGCAGGGAGGCTCTGCTCTGGTCCTTGTCTTCCTCCTTCCCTCCTCCTGCTCCTCCTCCTCCTGCTCTCCCTTTTCCCCTCTTCTCTGCTCCTCCTCCTGCTCATGCTCATGCTCATGCTCATGCTCGTGCTGCTCCTCCTCCTCCGCCTCCTGTCCTCCTCCTCCTCCTGCTTCTCTACCTCCTCCTCCTGCTCCTCCTGCTCCTGCTCCTCCTCTTCCTCCTCCTCTACCTCCTCCTCATCCTGCTCCTCCTGCTCCTCCCACGGTTCTCTCCTCCTCCACCTCTATTCCTCCTCCTCCTCCTCCTCCTGCTCCTC